CATAAATACAAACTTTCATTTATGTTGCATTCTCCATTAAAAAAACATTTCTCCCCAAAACACAAAATGATAAAGAAGCAAATGACCAAATAATACAATGTCAGGCCATAATGTCCTTGATTTATGAATTGAATTGCAGTAATTATTTTTGAACGATCCAAGTCTGTACAACACGTGACTTCTGTTATTTATATCAAATAACAAGTATGAGTGACTATTATCTTCAAAGTATTAGGTGTCATTGAATACAGCTTATTAATCATGATTGCCTTAAATTATTGCATTTAATGTTGGCAAATGCCATTTTCCCCACAACTTTCCTAAAAATAGAGATTACTATTTTATCAATGCTCTGTTTTAGTATAGACCAATTTCTAGACATAAGCTAAACATTCTTGCACTTTATCCTATTTACTTTTGTGGATTTCTAGTTACTGTGTTAGTTATTTTCCAGAGCTCTGAGCTGAGTCTGCCTTATAAAAGGATACATTTTCTTTATAAAAACTAAGTTCATTTTACCCTTCAACATCTATAAAGTCTATCCCCTCGATTTATCTTATTAAACTTCTATTCTATCTTTTTCCAGTTGGTTTTCTCTACTGAAAATGAATATTGGCATACTTTGGAGCATTTGGAGAAATGTCTGTCCTCCTCTCATCATACTAACCTTCAGTTATGAAATTCTGGGTTCCTTTAAATGGTTAACATATCCTCTCCATTCTTAGGTTCTCCATATCGAGACAAAATCACCATAGCAATTCTTCAGCTGCAAGAGGAAGGCAAGCTACACATGATGAAGGAGAAGTGGTGGAGGGGCAATGGTTGCCCTGAGGAGGAGAGCAAAGAGGCCAGTGCTCTGGGCGTCCAAAACATTGGTGGCATCTTCATTGTTCTGGCAGCTGGTTTAGTGCTCTCAGTTTTTGTGGCAGTGGGAGAATTTTTATATAAATCCAAAAAAAACGCTCAATTGGAAAAGGTAAATATCTTTTTTTTTTTCAATTTAAAACAATTACTGTTTTTATACTAAAACACACAAAAAAGATTTTTGATCTTTCCAGCCAGGTCAATGCTTAGAACTGTGGCTGTTAATTGTCTTATGTCATTCATTATAGAAAAAAAAATATATATTTGGTGAAATATAAAATTATATTTCACAAAAAGATTCATAATCATCTTCATGACTTTTAATTTATTTGTAATATATTTAATTGTAGCCAGCTTTAGGACAAATGGCTATTTCTACTCTTATTGAAACCTGACAAATGAGAAGTATTTGTTGCTTGAAATTCATTGCAATCAGTTTAATGGAAGGATGTAGTTAAACATGAAGGAAGCAAAATTCAGAAAGTAATGTGAAAGAAAAAGTAGTTCTTTGTAGATCAAAAAGGATTTTAAGATACAATACTGGTTAACACTTTCAAGTTAGAGCGTAAATGAAATTAAAAAAAAAATATATCTCTAGTCTGATAAATTCCTAGTTGAAAAAAAGCTTTCATTTTACAAATTACAATTAATTTTCTACTTTAATGAATGTGTGAAAATACCATGGTTTCTTTTTTGCCATTCAATATGAGTTCTTTATTTCCTTGCACCAGATTCTTTATAAGAATATGTGTACACCTCAAATGTATAGAAACTATTACAATATTTCTTGGGATTTCAATACATTTAGTCATTTGTATAAATGTTTTTGTATTCTATTCTTGAAGTTTGTGACCTCATTCAGAGTCTAAATTTCTAGTGCTATTATTTTCACATTTCTATAAATATGAAGAATATAGAAAAATCACTCAAATGGTACATGACACTCTTTATATGTAAATTTATAGCTCTGGACATAAAATAACTAACACTTTTAAGTCTTCTAGCACTTTATTTATTAAACCTTTTGTAAAAATAAAGCTCAACATTTTTTACGTCTTAACTTTAGACAATGTGGCAGAGTGAGTACTTAAAAGGTTTATGAGCTGTTAGTGATAAGTATATAAAGCTGGAAAGTGGTATTTTAAAAATAATATCATACAGGAATGCAAGGCAGATATATTCTGCTAATATACATTGAAGTGCTTGCACTTCTAAAACTATTTTTGAAAACAAAAATATCTTCTTTTGTCTTTAATGATTTATGTTATGATTACTTAGCATTTTTGAACTCAGAATTTTAAATATAGCATTTTTACATTTTTACTTGACTGCAGTACTTGACACTAAGAAATAATGTTTTTATAAATGCTTTAACTCCATCTGTCTACCACTGAAATGATCAATTCAATATTTTGAAAAATTCGGACAGTCACACAATTTATTTCCCTACAACATTCAGGATGGCTATTTAAGCTAACTTGGCTAAATCAAATATGAGTTGCACTTATGTGACTGATGATTATGTCTAAGTATACTTTTCATGTTATAATCCTATTTATAGCATCAAAATAAGTTTGAAATTACAGCCAAAGGACTAACAAAAGAAGAAAAATACTAACTCATCAATTACCATTTTTCCTATAATTTGTTAATAAATGTGATATTTGGTTAGTCAGTTTCTAAGATAAGTTCAAAAAACATAGAAAGAATTTGGATTTTCTAGTTGGAACCTCAAATCATCCATATATAATGATTTTTATAAAGTTATTGCTCTGAATTAAAAAAAAAGAAAGAATTAACCTCTTGACAATATGTGCTATTCTATTGTCCTTTTCTCTACATGTCCTGTTCTTTCGATTTACCTAGGCTATGTCTCTGGCATGACTTTTTTACAAGCATTTTGTTTAAAACCAAAATAAGGGTGTGATGATTTAATTCTGTAAGTCAACTTGCTTCGTTTTTATAAATAACTAGTTTAGTTAAACTTTTCAGAGATCAATCAGATCTCTTGACATTCTACAGACCAGTATCACTTTCTAAAAAACTAAGAAAAGGAAATTAATGTACTTTTCTAAAGACTGAGACAGATAAAGCATTTACATTACATTGCAAAGAAACAACTGTGTTGCTATTACATGAGCATGTTAGTCGCACTTCCCAATGCCTTCTCACAGTCTCCACATAGTGTCCACAAAGAAATCCAAATTTCCTAGCTTAGCAGATGACACCCTTTAGGACCTGTCCTTGTCCACAGTTGTAGTTTTATCTTTTTCCTCTCTCCAATTTGCGCCTTTACTTTAGCCACATTAAATTACTTTCAGTTTCCCAAGGTCATCCTCTTCCTTTTGCCTGGACCAAAACGTTGCCCATTTTTCTGCCTTGTGAACTCCTAAGCATCCACTTGTTTAGAAAGCTTTGCTTAGTCAATAGCTATAACAGATTTAGGCACAGGGCATAGCTCATTTCTACAAGGTGGAGGTCACTTTTCATTTCCTGTTTCAATAAAAAATAATGTATCCCATGTATCTCATTTTTTTACTTAGCAGATTTTAGGTACTATCATCATGCAGAAACATTTGTCCTCTCTCAAGAAAGTTGGAAAGGTATTTGCCCATTTCAAAGCATTTCCAGCCTTAAGCCAAGATAACTTTTCTCTATGAATCCTTTGCACATCTCCATTGTCCCTTAGCACACTATTTTATTCATATTTGTTGGTTTCAACTTGTGGGTACCTTTCTTCCTATTTGACTCTTCTTTCTTTTAGGACAAGGATCTAATGTTTTTTGTTTGTATCTTCAAGGCCTTGAACAGTGCCTGGTGGCATAGCATCCGTCTATCTGTCTATCTACCTATCACTCATTTAAATTAATAATAAAGTTGATTTCAGAAACCTACTTTAAAAAGTCTATCATAAAAAAAGAACTATGTTTCTATATAATTCAGAATATTAAATTAAATAATTATGGATTGATTGGAAGTAACCCATTCTTTTTGTTTGTATCTTCAAGGCCTTGAACAGTGCCTGGTGGCATAGCATCCATCTATCTGTCTATCTACCTATCACTCATTTAAATTAATAATAAAGTTGATTTCAGAAACCTACTTTAAAAAGTCTATCATAAAAAAAGAACTGTTTCTATATAATTCAGAATATTAAATTAAATAATTATGGATTGATTGGAAGTAACCCATTTTATTTGTTGTAATAAATTAAGTTCTTGAATTCAATTCTTCATTTTTCTTGAGAAATAGATCTCTTGGGTTGTACTACACAGATGTTTAACACCTTACTTAATTTATTAAAATTAGCCATGAGCTATTCTTGATTTTATCATAATATATGCATGAGCACATACAGAAATTCAGTTTATTTATACTTATCATACTTATGTCTTTAACCTAGATTTCTTAAATTTTAAAAGTGCATAAACACTTGTGAAATTGCTTATTTACTCAAACATATTTGTTGAGAACCAAATCTGCAATAATTTTGTTTTGCATATTGAAGGTAAACAAGAATGTATTAGTCACAATTCCAGCCCAATATTGCTTTGTTATCTCTTTTCTCTTCCCTTTTATCCTTTTTTGTTCTTCCCTTAGCATATACTTTTCTAGTGTTTTTTTTTTTAAAAACAACAAATGAACCTTCCTATCTTTATCTAAGTCAGCTGTCAGATACAATATACACACAATTTAGCTGAATATGAAATTTATGAATAAGTGATATATTTCCAAATCAAGTCTTACCTTTAATGATGATAATGATGAAATTATAGTAAATACTATTACCTAAAGGTGGAAATAAAATGCCCTTTAAAGCACTTATATTGTAAGATATTAATGGAAATGATTAGAGCTTGATGAGCAAAGCTTTTTTTACATTTTCAAGCTGTTTGATAATTAAAAGTAGTAAAAGAATGTATTATTTTAAAATGAGGGCAGAGTGAAAATGAAAAGAGAAGATAAAGTTGAAATATGTGGACCTTAAAAATTAAAAAAAAAGTGTAAATTGCATTCCTTTCAGATAGCCACAAGATGATGTATCATAATATTTATAATAATGGCTTTAACTTGATGCCAATATTAATGCATTGAAGATACATTACTTTTCATTTATTCTGACTTTTAAAATAAATAGGTCTTTATTTTTTCTTATTTTTCCAACATATAATTTGGCCATTTGGAAATATACTCAAAAAGTTTTTCTTATCTGAACATGTCTGCAAAAAATAAGTAACAACAAATGCAATTTAATTTAATTAATATTCTCTTTGCCTTAACTTTTCCTTGATTTTAAACATACTGCTGCTTAAATTTCACTAATTACACAATCCAAGAAACTGTTGTATTTCTGAGACCATCATCAGTGCATTTAGGTGCATAGATTTATTTGAAAGGTCCTGTTTTCCTCTTCTAAGACTTACTTATAGCTGAAATAAGCTGCTTATAATACAAAATATTGTTTTCTGTGGTAATATTTATAATAACATATTAGCTTTGTACTCATAAATTATAAGCAATCATAATAATTTTAACTTTTATAAAACTATTTTATGACAATTATGGCTTATTAGTTTATCTTTAAAATTGCTTATTTCTTAAACATATGAATATTTTCTTTTAAAAATATATAATTCTATCTTCTTTTGATTTTCAGCAAAATAGTAGCATGATATTTTTTTCTGATTTGTATTCAGAAATATATCATTTCCCATGTAATTGAAAATGGATTTGCTTGTACTGATTGTTTTTGTTGAATTGCTTGAACATGTATTATTGAGTTCCCGGCCATGAAAAAAACTTAAAATATTGTCAAAAATATTCCCTCTCTTGTAACTTAGGTCTTAACTAAATATAATAAATATGTCTGAGAAATAAAAAATATACATATATATATAAAATATTGCTCAGATATTGAATTTGTGAGGTAGGTGTCCCATCGTAAACACATATTTTTGTTCTAACTTTCCTCTAAGATGGTTGAAATATACTTTAAGTACTATTAAAATATTGCTCAGATATTGAATTTGTGAGGTAGGTGTCCCATTGTAAACACATATTTTTGTTCTAACTTTCCTCTAAGATGGTTGAAATATACTTTAAGTACTATGT